ACCAGAGCAGATCCACTTATATCTGTTTTATTTATTGGGGTCCACATACAATTATTTTTTATTTCATTACTAGTGAAAAGTTTGGAGTTCCTATAGTACACTGTGCTAAAACATTTGGAAATAACTCTGAACCACCACAGAACTGAGTTTCTGAGTTTAGTAGCAAGGAAGGTAGATAACCAAGGTGGCCGATTTGAAATTTGGTCTTTTTGAGCTGTAGCAAAATGACATAAATTCCCAGGTTGCCAGCCTACATTTGGACAACAAACTTGTTAGATTTTTTAACCTACAAATGAATTGCTCAAGTAATAGAAAATTAATATATGCAACACAGGATGAAGATTAAAGTCATCCTTTCAATTGTAAATTCATGACAGGATGCGTCTTTGTCGATGGACTTGTTCGTAGAGGGTGGTGAAGCATGAGGTACACTTGCCATGTGTCACAGTCTAGAAATGAGAAGCCCTCTCTATCTCCTGTCTTGCCATCAAATATATGTAACATTAGTCACAGAGTTGAAACCCTGTTTATTCAGGGAGATAGCAGAGAGCCATAAGAAAGAGAAAAACTGGCCTTAATAAAAAGACAACAGGCCAAGTGACATTGGGAAAGCCAATGAATCCCTTTAAACCAGAGGTTCCCAAACTGCAGGCTGTGCCTATCAGTTAGTTGTAATCAACAGCAAAAATAAAATGGAACAGAGTAGATATTTATTCTATGAAAATCTTTTCACAGTTATAGGTGTGTGAGAGAAAGACAGACAGACAAACCATGTATCTATGTAGTATGTATTTCTTACTTTGGGTTCCTGCTAAAAAGGTTTGAATGTCATTATTTTCAAAGGTTCTCTTTGGATATTCTCTTATATGTGAAGTGGGGATAATAACATGGTTCTAATGTACTTCTCAGAGTTAACATAAATATAAAATAAGATTACAAAGAAAGACAAATATCACACGATGTCACTTATTTGTGGAATATAATGAGCAAAATAAGCTGACGAGCAAAATAGACCCAGAGACATGGAAGAAGGGACAGACTAACAAACCTCAGAGAAAAGGGGGGTTAGGGAGTAGGAAGAGACAACCCAGAGAATTTATATGCATATGTGCACAACCAGTGGACACAGACAACAGTGCGGCGGAGGTGGGCATGGTGGCGGGAGCGGGGAGAAGGGTATCAATGGGAAAAAAAGAAGGGGCATCTGTAATTCTTTCAACAATAAAGATACATTTAAAGAAAGAGGTGTATTTTATAAATATACAATAAATAAATAAAATAAGATGCCATATTTTAGTCTTTTCAAGAAACTTCAAAAAGTTCTTTACAAATTTAAAGTGCTGCTGAAAGTAAAGATGGGTCATTGGCTTTACCAAAAAATATATGGTACCATTATTTACTGTGGCCTATATTCACATAGATCTCTCAGAATAATGTATGAGAGATTTACATTAAATAGACCAGGCTATTTATTGCTTGAAATTCCTAAACTATTTAAAGTTAATGTTATATTTTCTTTTTATTACATCAAGATGGAAGTATTTGATATTTTCTTCCTATTATTGCTGTGATATACTTAGATGAAAATAATTGAGTTAATAAATCAATATTTACCACTTCTGGGAGAGTCTGTTTAAAAGAGAGTGAAAAGTGCCCTGGCCAGTTTGGCTCAGCGGTTAGAGCATCGGCCTGCGGTCCGGAGAGACCCAGGTTCGGTTCCCGCTAAGGGCATGTACTTCGGTTGCAGTTTGTCCTCGGCCCTGGTTGGTCGTGCGGGTGGCAGCCACTCGATGTGTCCCTTCACGTCGATGTTTCTCTCTCTCTCTCCCTCCCACTCTATCTGTACAAAAAATGGAAAAATATCCTCGGGTGAGGATAAAAAAAATAAAATAAAAAAATAAAAAAAATAAAAGAGAGTGAAAGGCCCTGGCCGGTTTGGCTCAGCGGTTAAAGCGTCGGCCTACGGTCCAGAGAGACCCAGGTTTGATTCCCACTAAGGGCGCGAACCTTGGTTGCACTTTGTCCCCGGCCCTGGTTGGTTGTGCAGATGGCAACCACTTGATGTGTCCCTTTCACGTCGATGTTTCTCTCTCTTCCCTCTATCATCCTCTCTCTCCCTCCCACTCTATCTGAACAAAAAATAGAAAGAAAAAAAAAATGTCCTCGGGGGAGGATAAAAAAATAAAATAAAATAAAAGAGTGAAAGCCCTGGCCGATTTGGCTAGGCCGTTGGAGCATCGGCCTGCGGACCAGAGAGTCCTGGGTTCGGTTCCTGCTAGGGGTACGTACCAAAAAAAAAAAAGAGTGAAATTGTGGGTTTGTGTTTCAGTTATTATCATAAATTGACTTATTTCTACTTCTGTTTCAACTTCCATCTACATCAGTATTCCAAATTACCAACTACTTTCCAAGTAGCTAGACATATATAAAAGACCTTGTATTACCTATATCATGTGCTAAAGCAAATGTTTTTAGCTCTTTTCAAAGCCTGCCTTTCCACCCCTTTCAAATATATAGACTGGCAGACAAAGAAACCAACACTCTGCTTCTTAACTTACCTGTCTGTTTCAGTGATTTTACTATTAAAATTCCTAAGCCAGAAGTATTAGAGCTTTATTTTACTTTCTTCTATTATTAACCCCCTATTACTAAAGCCAATTTGTTGCCAAGCTTTGCTTTTTGTTTGAAATGTACCTTGTAATTGCTATCAATCCCCTCTGACACCACCCTAGCCCCGAGCCTAGTCACATCCTTGCCAGATAATTTGAAAGAGCTTCTTTGTCTCTCTCCTCTCTACATAAATTTTCTTAAAATATTTTTGTGAAAAATTATTTTAGTAATGTATAACATGATGACTATAGGTGACACTGCTATATGATGTATGTATAGATAGGTAAGAGAGTAAATCCTAAGAGTTCTCATCACAAGGAGAATTTTTTTTTCTTTCTTTTTTCTTATTGTATCTCTATGAGATGATGGATGTTAGCTGTACCTATTGTGGTAATCATTTCACAATATATGTAAGTCTTTTTTTTTAAAGGTGAAGTGGTACATTTATTAACATACCATAAGTCCAAAGAAATCCCTCAAAGTACTATAACAACATCATGTAAATAAATGTCAGAGGTTATGTTTAGAAAATTGATAAAAATACAAAAATGCTAAAATTAATTAGTTAAAATATTAGTAACCAAAATATGAAAAAGATGCTCTTTTGTGTATTCATATTGAAGAGGAAGAAAAGGCTGTTGAGGGTATCAGGAAAAATAATAACACAGTTTTTCTGGAAATCAATGTAACATTATGTTTTAGAGAGTCTCAAAAATGTTTGTATACTTTTACTCAGCTATTCCAATATAAAGAATGTGCTGCCCTGGCCGGTTTGGCTCAGCGGTTAGAGCGTCGGCCTGCGGTCCTGAGAGACCCTGGTTTGGTTCCCGCTAAGGGCATGTACCTCATTTGCAGTTTGTCCCCAGCCCTGGTTGGTCGTGCGGGTGGCAGCCACTCGATGTGTCTCTTTCACATCGATGTTTCTCTCTCTCTCTCTCTCCCTCCCACTCTATCTGTACAAAAAAAAAAAAAAAAAAGAATGTGCATAAGAAGGCACTTGGGGAAAGGTTCACATTGTAACGTTGGTTTCATAATTGAGAAAAAGGAAGCAAATGATACATTAAATACAGGCGGGCCTCACTTGGCACAGTACCGTGTCAATTGAAACGTGGGCAGAGTGGAAATATGTCCTTGCTCTGCGTGGGACTGAGTTACCACAGCACTGTGCAAAGTGAGTACTGCTCACACAGTAGTGGGTTGGACATAGGCTAATGGCAGATGAACAGCAGCTGGTTATACATAACTAGATCCCCTGTAAGTGTGTGTTGTCTGTGATCATAGAGGAGACTGTGACTGTCATGTGACAGATTTTTGCACTTGAATTTTTTAAATCCTCATCTGAGGATATGTTACTGACTTTAGAGAGAGGGAGAGGGAGAGGGAGAGGGAGAGGGAGAGGGAGGGAGGGAGAGAGAGAGAGAGAGAGAGAAAGAGAAAGAGATATCAATCGGTTGCCTCCCATATACCATATACACACCCCGACTGGGAATCAAACCCAAAACCTAGGTATGTGCCTTGACCAGGATTCAAACCTGCAATCTTTTTGTGTACTGGATGATTCTCCAACCAACTGAGCCACGTGGCCAGGGCTGAATTTAAATTTATACAGACATTAAAATGAAGAAACGCCCAGTTAAGGAAAGGAAAAATCATTTTATGTAGCTTTTTATGAAAAAAGAAGGGTACAACAACGTACACATTATGATAGTTTTGTAAAATGCTAGGATTAAGGAAAAGTAAGACTTGGTCTTTATATCTATGTACCAATTTTCTATGATAAATAATTAATTTTATAAGCATGAAAATAAGCAAACAAAAGTCACACAGTGATGCATGTTAATTCTTTTTCTATTAAACTGGAAAAAAAATTATTTACCCTTTGCATAGGACTCACAAAAGCTATATATATGGCTCCCACATCAATTTCAGAATTTTCCCTGGTTTTCAATGTCTTCTATAACATAAATCCATTATATTCCCATTCTTTAATTCATTTATCCAAGCTTCATTTTTTAGTAAAAGGTGAAGGATTTATTTGATCTGATAAAAACCCCAGAGTATTTAATTTTAAATGTCTATTTTTGCTAGTTATCTTATTAGGTACTGTGAATATGAAATATGTTGAACACAACAGTCTCCACTATGTAGCAGCATGTACCTTAAAGGCACAGACAGGCAAACAAACACAATCACATTACCTTATAACAAAGAAATAGTATCCTAGGAGGTTAAAGAAAGGGGATCAACAGCCAAATCTAATTTCCTGCTAGTCCCAACTCTCAATTTTCCACTTCAGTCAAACACCTCTCTTATAAAAATCACACAGTGCAACACTCAAGAGAGGAAATTTGTGATTGCCACAGCCTAACAAAGTCATAATAATGGTTTACCTGTGGTCCAGCAAAGAGGCTACTGAAGAGCCATGCCAAGCCAATCAAGGGCTGTCCCAGCTTGCTGTTGCTCACAGCTAGGGGTCTCGTGATGGCCAGAGAGCGGTCCAGGCTGATCACTACCATCATGAAGGCTGGGGCATACATGGAGAAAAGCTTCAAGTAGCTGAGGACTTTGCAGAGGAACTCTCCCCCATACCATTGGACTGTAATGTTCCACATTCCGTCCAGTGGCATGACAATCAGAGTCTCCAACAGGTTGGCTAACGTCAGATGTTTTAAAAGCACCTTCATTCTTGGGAGCTTTTTTCCTTTCTCTTTCTTCTGAGTCCACTTCTTAAGTTTCAACAAGAAAGAAGCATTGAAAGTCGTGGAGAGTAGAAAAAGGAAGAAAGTAACTGTCACTCGGATCTTTCCGGATAAGGTCAGGGTGGGGAGGTTGCCCTGCATCAGCGGGCTGCTGCTGTTGAAGGGTGAACAGTGATTTTGATTCTGTTCAGGAGACACACTGTTTGCCATATTTTTCAACTGGTAGAGCTTTAAGACTTGTATTTCTAGCACTTCTGGTGTTTTATTGTAATTGAACCCATTTTATTTCTGTCACCGGTTTAGATTTATGTCAATCTTGTCCCTGAGATACTTTATATTTAATGTGAAAGGTCAAGGTGAACTTGTTTTGTGGGTTTATAATCCAACAGAGGACTAAAACAGAGCATGCCAGACACATTCTGAGGGCCAAATGTAACTGCAGTACCTCAGCAGATGGCCTGGTTGTCACAACATTTTTTCCTGAGTGATGAAGGACACTTGAAGCTTAATTTTGAGTTCAAAATTTACTCAGGGTATTATTTAAATAACCTTAATGAAGAGATTTTCTAAACATTAACACATGTTAGTGTTCTGTCCAACAGATGCAAAACAAAAATAAAGAAAAAGACAAAAATAACTTGATCCAGTTAAAATCTGTTGTTTTAAGAAATTAATACATTTCTCGGAAACGTTTGTTTTCTTTTTTAATCACATGCTGTGGTGCATTCAGACACTAGACACATATGTTAACTTAAAACCATCCTGCACAAAACACCAAATTAATATCTTAGCAGTTAGAATCAATTTGATATAATACAAATTGGGCTGCATTTAAATTTATCAGTCTTATTGGTCAGTTTATCCATGCTTAAATTAGAATAAAAATGATGAGCACTTATTGCCTTGCTTTTTATAATTGTCTAAATATTATAGTTACCATTGTACATTATTTCATATAATAACTGGACATGGGAGAGAATACTGTACAAATGCTATAACTGCATTTATATGTTTCTATATAATATGAATATTTACTTATATTCCTTTAAGTGTAATCAATCATTTCACACTGGGGCCACTTAGGAACTTTCTCTGTATTGCTGTTTTAACTTTCATGGTCAGTGTTTGATGATGTTATTTACCAATACTGATATGAGATTACACTGGAATTTATTATATCACCAGCTTAATTTGTCTTATGTCAACTAGTTTGCTTCTGTGGCAGCCCAAAGCTAGAAGAGTAAAGGTGGCTCTCTTGACTTAAATGATTTATTCTTTTTGTTCATTTATTTGTATTTTTCTGTTGTCTGTTCTTTTACTATATAATTACTAAATTTTACTTAGCCTTTGTAGGTGATAAAAAAAAGTGCACATGGCATCACCAGGCCCTGAAGGAGCTTACCTGGTACTAGAGTAGATAAGAGTATTGGATATGTCTATGTGCCTTCTCATATTACCTCTGTGCTGGCTGTCTCCTTGATCTTGAACACTTTAAACCAGTTGCTTCCCTGGGGTCCCTCTTGATTGTCACCATGGCCATAGTTACTAGCTTTCTTTTATTCCTTTTGGACGTGGGTGAAATATACTGCAGTGCATGGATTTTGGCTTCCTAAATGGCTTTCTGAAGGGTCTGGAAATATTTTCTAGTGGAGTATTTTGGTTTTTAAAAATTAGTGGGAGAAATATATGAGTCAGAAATCATCACGTGTATTTTTAAGTACAAATATAGCATAAACATACACTTAGCTCTCGTTATTTGTTTTAGTTATGTTCTGTAATGTAGCTGTGAACACTCAGTTAGTGAATACTGAACCATTGCTCTTAATGAATATGCAGGGCTAGTTTCTTTCTTTCTTTTTTTTTTTTTATCCTCACCTGAGGACATTTTTTGATATTTTGTTCAGATAGAGTGGCAGGGAGGGAGAGAGAGAGAAACATTGACGTGAAAGGGACACATCGAGTGGTCGCCACCCACAAGACCCAACCAGGGCTGGGGACAAACTGCAACTGAGGTACGTGTCCTTAGCGGAAACTGAACCCGGGTCTCTCCAGACCGCAGGCTGACGCTCTAACCGCTGAGCCAAACCGGCCAGGGCTGCAGGGCTAGTTTCCTGTGAGCCAAAACACCATTTGCATTAAATAGGCTCCCTCGCCATCATCTTTATAAAATGAACCGATGTCATCAGTGTTGAAAATCTCTTCCACATAATCCTTTTGAGGTATAACACTTAGCAGAATATTTAAAATTTCTTCCAAAGATTCCTGGTATTCATAAACTGCCTCACTTCCAAGTTTAATATTTTTCATATTGTATCACCTTTCAAAATGTGCAAGCCAGATGGCTTTCACCCTCACGACCATGCTGTCCACTATATTTTTAAAGAGATAAGTCCTCACCTCATGAATTTACAAATTTCACCACTTTCCTATCTTTTCCATGACTTCATCACACTCTACACACTTTACTTTACTACTCTCTGGAGCAGCCACATACGCAGCTCAGCAAATTTTCTCTTCCTTTTTCTGGATTAATTAACATTGAACACATAGCTGTCAGCACTGTAACTTACGCCTGAACAAGAGTCCTCTAACACGTGTATGTTCTCTGTAAGGCACATGAATGTTTTCTTATGCTTAAGACTACTGGATAGCACTTGATGCTTCATTTTAAATAATGAAGTCACTAACAAATGCACAAAAATGTAAAAAACATGGCACTAAATAGACCACGAAAAAGATGCTAGCTTAATGATGAGATGCTGAAATGAAAAGGCAGAGCATCACTTTGACCTCAGCTGAGAAGTTGCCTGTTGGGCAACTCAAATTTGCTGAGGAGTTTGGGCTTTACTTATAAACAGTGCCTTGAAGGGTAGAACAGCGTGGTGTTGATAATGCCAGGTTCATGCTTTGGAAAGATCTGTTTTGACATACAGAGAATGCATCGAAGGAATTTGAGGAATAGTGGGCAGATCATCATTTGAAACTGTTAATGTATTTAGAAAACCCTTACTACTACTAACACAACATAGAAAATATGGTGGTAGCATAAATTAGAGAGATACATTTTAAGTTTTATATATAGAGAAGGTATAGTTAATAGGACTTGATTGATTAGTTCTTGTTTTTGAGAAAGCAAAAGGAATAAAGAATTCGTCCTTAATTTCCAGCTTGGAAATATGAGTTGGATGAACTGTCTTGTAAGACTAGGAATATTCAAGAGAGAGAGCAGTTTTAGACATACAGTATTGTATTTGAGATGCCTATAAATTAACCCTAAGGAAATTTTTTAGTAGGCACTTGGCTATACAGGTGTGGAGCTCAAAAGATACATTCTGGTTGGAGATACAAATCAGCAGAATCTTCGCATACTCTTGTGTTTGAAGCCATGGAAGTGGATGAGATTGCCTAGAGCAAGTGTCAGTGATAAGAGATAAGTGCCAGGCAAACAACCAGCTTGAGGTAAATCACTATTTCAGCATTGGATGATGCTATATTCCTTTTGGTGATGTGATATTTTTACAAAGTTAGGTTTCTGGTGATTGCTGTAATAGAAAGCAAATACCACATGAAAGTCAATAAAAATAAAATGAAAGAAGTAAAGTTCAATCTAATTGAGAAGCTATGCAATGCTCAGTAGGTATACATGTCATCTTGCTAAGTAATTGTAGTTATTTAAGAATATTTAATAATAAAGTAAAAATATTAACTTTGATCTAAAAAGAAAAAGAAAAAAAAAAAGGAGAGATAAGTGCCAGGAAATAACTCTGTGAACACAGTCATCTAAGAAACACATAGAGACTGGGGAGTATTGTAAGGTAATGAGGAGATCACAAGAGAGTAATGTAATGGAAGTAATAAGAAGAAAGAATTTCAGGAGGGAGGGGGATATCTCATAGATAGGATATGATCTAAAAACAGTTAACAGTATTTAGTAATTAGGAGGATACTGGTGACTTGCCTAGATCAGCTTTAGTGCTTTGATGAGAATAGCTGTAAGAAGAGCATATGTGATTTGAGGAAGCGGACATAAAATAAAGAAAAAGAGATTTTAAAAATAGATGTATAAATCTTGAGGATGTTTAGAGACTTAGGGATGGAATGAGGTCAAAAGACTAGGGAGCAGATCCATTAGGGAGGCTGATTATTCAGTAAGACAATGAGGAGTTTAGGGTTAATAGGATGGGAGGTGGCTATATGAAAGTGTTGGAAGTGAGGGTAGACTCAAGTAGGAGGGGTGGGTCAAGAAAAGAGGACCTTAATGGAATGAAAACAAGTTAAATTATAGTAGAGTAAGGGATCATAAACCTAGACAATGTAGATAGAAATTTAAGTGGATAGAAGTAAAGATTGAATCAAGTTTGAGGCATTTAAAAAGCTCAGAGAACCTTGAATCTAGGCTGTTGTATGCGGTCAACCATATGGAATTTGAAAGTGCTCATTGATTCTGGCAATGACAATACTATTGGCAATATTTAACACATATTGGGTACTTACTATATGTCAGGCACTTTTTTAAGCACGTTACATATATTAACACTTAATCCTTACAACAACTCTAGAGGTAAGTACTATTGTTTTTTTTTGTTTTTTTTTTTATCCTCACCCGAGGACATTTTTCCATTTTTTGTTCAGGTAGAGTGGGAGGGAGAGAGAGGAACGGAGAGAGAGAGAGAGAAACATCGACATGAAAGGAACACATCAAGTGGCTGCCACCCACACAACCGACCAGGGCCGGGGACAAACTGCAACCGAGGTACGCGCCCTTAGCGGGAACCAAACCCGGGTCTCTCAGGACCGCAGGCCGACGCTCTAACCGCTGAACCAAACCGGCCAGGGCGAGGTAAGTACTATTGTTATCTTTATTTTATGGTTGAGGGAAGTGAAACACAGGGCACCATTTACACACCTGATTTGGGATTACATCACATGCATCTGCCTCCAGAGATCCTGTCCTTACCTCCTTGTTGTACTACCTCTCTTGTAGGAGTGAGGTGGAAAGACTGAGCCAGAAGTTGGATGTATATATATAAAAAATGTGGGTGTGGGTGTGGGTGTGTATTTGCATTTATCTTCAGGTAGAGCGGGAGGGAGAGAGGGAGAAAGAGAGAGAGAGAGAAACATTGAAGTGAGAGAGACACATGGAATGGTTGCCACTCGCACTACCCCAACTGGGGCCGGAGACAAACTGCAACTGAGGTATGTGCCCTTAGTGGGAATCGAACCCAAGAC